TTGTGTGTGTGTGTGTACTATACATATATATACATCATTGTATAGAGTGCAAGTGATGAGGTAGAGAAACAGAGACCAGCTCAATACAAATTACTGTAAATATAACATAAGGTGCAAATGAACAAGTGTAACAGAAGGTGCATTATACAGAGTGAGGTAAATCAATAGTGTATATTTCTGTATGGCCAGTGACCATAACAGTGCAAATGGCATTAGGAGGTAATGTGCAAAGGAATTTGCAAAATATCAGGAGGCGTAATAATAAACATTGTAAGTGTGCATAGAAGACAGGATATTGTACAGAGCATTTTTTTTACACATTAGGTGGTCCATCTAGGATGTTCAGCGTCTGAGATTAGAGTTCAGTAGGCTGACAGCTGAGGGAAAGGAACTGTTCCTGAGTCTGCTGGTGGGGGGACAGGTGAGCTTCCCTTAGTTTCCTAAGGAAGTAAAAGCACTCTTGCGCCTTTTTGTTCAGTGTGGAGGTGTTGAGGGTCCAGGAAAGATCCTCAGAGAGATGGACACCAAGGAGCTTGAAGCTAGCCACATGATCCACTTAAGCTCTATCAATGTAGATGGGAGTGTGTGCATGGCTCTTCCTGGTTCGCCGGTGATTTACAATCAGCTCTTTGGTCTTCTGGGTGTTGAGTGCAAGGTTGTTGTTGGCACACCACGCTGCTAAACGCTGAACCACCATGGTGTCATCTGCAAACTTGATTATGGAGTTAGAACCATGCACAGGTATGCAGTCGTGAGTGAAAAGAGAGAAGAGGATTGGGCTCAGCACAGAGCCCTGTGGTACACCATTGTTTAAAGTGAGGATGGAGGAAGTGTGGTTACTGATTCTAATAGACTGTGGTCTGTTGGTGAGAAGGTCCAGTTACAGAGGGAGGAGCTGATCAATAAGCTTGGAGATCAGTTTGGATGGGATCACAGTATTGAAGGCGGAACTGAAATCAATGAATAGCATCCTGATGTATGTATTGTTACTGTACAAGGAGAGGTTGAAAATGTTTGTGAAGACCTCAGCCAGCTGATCTGCAAAGGCTCTAAGCACTCGGCCAGGGATTCTTTCAAACATTTTGTTTCACTGAGCTGGTTCAATTCACTGGTTTGTTTACGCAATCATCCAATGATGTAATGTATATACAGTTATATTATTAAATCACCCAATAATGATGTGAAGCGTGGATGTTTTTCATGTCTAAAGCATATAAAGTGAATAAACTAGTCTTCATCAGTTCACCTTTTTACATAAGCAAAGAGAAACCATAAAAACTTCAGTCCGAGTCGAGTCGGGGGTGTAACTGTTCGTGTATGTCTTGTGACAAGTTTGTACATAATGTGTAGCTGTCCTTGTGTTTTATACGCACCTCCTGTGAAAATTAATTTCATCTCTGAGGACAAATAAATTATCTATCTATGTATCTATCTATCTATCTAGTTGACAAAAAAGAACCGGTTCAAAAGAATGATTAGTTCGTGAACTGAACTGCTTGCCTGAGGCTCTGAATTACAGGTAATAATGTTGTAAATAATGTTCAGTTTCTTGCACAGACTGAAGGTTTTGCTTCATAAGACCTCAATATATCATCAGGAGCCATTAATTTTGTGTTGTCTGATATGCTTTTTTGACTCTAAAAGTGACGGTAGCCATTGACTTGCATTTTATGAATTTACCAAGGACATGGTTTCAGCTAAAAATCTAATTTAATGAATTAAAAAAAAAGTCACCTACATCTTGCATGGCCTGAGAGTGAGTAAATTAACAGCGAATGTTGATTATTGGGTGAACTATGACTTTAACTGTAAAGATATTTATATTTTAGTATGTTGTGTGTCCGCAGCTTCATTTGATAAGCGTTATAAGGCAGCGTACCTGCGCTTGAGCAGTTCTCTGGGCCGAGAGGAGCTGAGGAGGAAGAGAGTCCAGCCGCCCAGTCCTAAAGCCGTCGACTGCAGACGCTGCTTCCTGCTGCCGCTGGAGTGCTGATCTCACACACACACACACACACACACACATACACAATCACACACTCCGCTTGTCTCGTCTTGCCGTCGTCTTCACGCTGCTTGAGGAGGAACCGCGACACACAGTCTGAGCGCTTCTGCTGGTACGCTCACTGCAGACGCCGCTGTGCATTATGGGAATGCGTGACCCTTTCACCAAAAACTGCTTCTGTATCCCACAATGCCAAGCAAACTGACACCCAGCCGCCCCTCGGAAGATTTCATAGCATCTGATGTGGCGTTTGAATTTACCTCGTTGATTTCTGTTGGTTTGATGTCATGGAACTCAAAGATGAAGATCCGGTTGTAAACGCCGGAAGGCATCATGGGAGTTTGTTGAGATGATTCTGCACTGGAGTGACGCTCTGAGCTTCTTCATGTTTGTGTGAGATGTTTCCTGACCAGCAGATCCATCGTCTCCATTCTGGACAGAAGAGTTACTCAGTAAACTAGTCTGGTCAGGACTAGTTAGTTCCTCTGAACCGTGTTTGTGTGTGAGAGAGAGAAAGCAGCACTGCTGTCGATCTACAAACACATTTTATCAGTCGTTTTAAAGGGTGTCCTGTGATGTGGTGTGACTGTAGGAGGATCCTGCGACGCTCTGGTTCACCCACAAACCAGCTGGTTTTAGCATTGAGCCGTAATTCACACAACCGTCAAACACATTCACCTCCAAACTCTCACTGGTGTGAAGAGCAGATCATTCTCTCATTCAGACCTGTGTGACTGTCTGCAGTCAGAGATTCTGAGAAATGAACCAGTGTTTTCTGTTCATATAATGAAATTCAGCGGGATCCAGTGTTGTTTGGCTCCCAACATTCTTCAAAATACAGTTACATTTATTCATTTCTCAAATTATCCATTTTCAGAACATTGGAAGACATGAGGAGCGTAAATGATGACAGAATGAGGATTTTTGGCTGAACTGTCTCATTAAATGCACACATCATGGTTGAATTTATAGATTTTATTTATGATGTTTTCAGTCATGCCTGATGATAATGTTTTTTTATTTAATTTAGTTTTTTTCTTTATACAGTAGGATATTTTCTATATATCAGGATATAATGCAAAATTTAAAAAGGAACTAGATACATAAAATCCAGCTGACTTTCTGTACATTTCACAACTAATGTTTATTACCAACAGAACTAAAACAAAGTTACAGTTGCAAAGTTTCATTTACAACAATAATTTGCGATGACACCAATGATATTTTTTGTTATTGTTTTACAATTGTGTGTGTGTGTGTTTCATTAAGGAGTATTTTGGAGATAAATGTTTGTTGTTTTTTAATTATGGAAAAAAATCTAGAAACTCTTGACAGTAAGATTTCATTTGTTAATGCATTAGTTAAAATGAAATATTAATAAGCAATATATACATTTACAGCATTTTTTAATCTTTGTTAATGTTGGTTAATAAAAATGCATTGTTTGTTCATGTTAGCAGTGCATTAACTAATGTTAAATACTTTTGATTTTAATAATATTTTAGTAAATGTTCAAATTTCCATTATATAAGATGAATAAATGCTGTAGAAGTGTTTTTCATTGTTAGTTCATGTTAACTGATGAATGAATGTTAACAAATGAAAGCTTACTGTAAAGTGTCACCAATAATCTTAGTAAAGAAAAACTTGATTTTCTCTAATGAAACATGTCGTTCTGTTGGTATTGTGAAGTGTGATCAGCTGCGATTCATCCACTCTTGTTCTGTTGTGTCGGTGAACAGCTGCGATTCATCCGCTCTTGTTCTGTTGTGTCGGGAAGCGTTTCTCTTTCGTTTGCTCTTCTGATCCGTGTTTCTTGAGTTTTTGTGTTCATCTGTGAGTTTCTTCTCCTGGAGTGAAACGGCTGTGATCTGTTTAAAATCACTGTTACAGAGGAAACGCTCGTGACTGTAGGACTGACGCCACATTCATTAGTCTTCATTTTATTAAGGAGGAATATGAAGCTGCTAGAAGAGTTTTAGTGGCATTAGAGGAAGTGATGTCAGAGGAAGTCGAGCTTCACTGCAGCATGAACGTCTGCATTTATCAAGACAACAGAGATTATAAAGATATATTTAAGTTTTCATGTGTTTGCTGTGCTAATTTATATTGATGTGACCTCTGACCTTTGTTGTGAATGTTGTTTTGTTTTTTCTTTTTTTAAGAAAATAGTTTTAAGAACCAACATTCTGTGTGTTTCTTCAGATCACTGCCATGTAAATTTGTTATAATTAGCACGAGACCTTTGATTATACATACATACATACTTGCATGTATATTTATATTATATGTATGTGTATGTGTGTGAAAAAATGTCAATTATTGCATATATAAAATTAGAAAGAAAAATTTGTAGGAAAAATAAAACAAAATAATCAAAGAATATAATTAGCACAAGTATAAGGAAAACAGAAACATTTAATATGTGTGTGTACAGTATATATATATATATACATACACACAGTTGCAAGAAAAAGTAAGTGAACTATTTTCAATCTTCCAAGTCGAGCTTCACTGCAGCATGAACGTCTGCATTTATCAAGACAACAGAGATTATAAAGATATATTTAAGTTTTCATGTGTTTGCTGTGCTAATTTATATTGATGTGACCTCTGACCTTTGTTGTGAGTTTTGTTTTTTCTTTTTTTAAGAAAAGAGTTTTAAGAACCAACATTCTGTGTGTTTCTTCAGATCACTGCCATGTACATTTGTTATAATTAGCACGAGACCTTTGATTATACATACATACATACTTGCATGTATATTTATATTATATGTATGTGTATGTGTGTGAAAAAATGTCAATTATTGCATATATAAAATTAGAAAGAAAAATTTGTAGGAAAAATAAAACAAAATAATCAAAGAATATAATTAGCACAAGTATAAGGAAAACAGAAACATTTAATATGTGTGTGTACAGTATATATATATATATACATACACACAGTTGCAAGAAAAAGTAAGTGAACTATTTTCAATCTTCCAGTTATCTGCATAAATCAGTCATGAAATTTGATTAGATTTTCACCAGTCACAAATATCAACAAACACAATATTTCTAAGCTGATAAACAATCATCATATTTCATGTCTTTATTGAGCACACTCCTTAAACATACAAAGTGATGGTGAAAAAAGTAAGAAACGCTAGGCTTCTGGTGTCACTAAATGCCAATTGGAGTCAGATGTTAGCAAACCAGGAGTCCAATCGATGAAACGAGAATAAAGGTGTGGTTTAGAGCTTATATAAACACCTACACAATGTTAGTGTGCTATTCACAAGCAGCATTAGCTGATGTGAGCCATGCCTCACAAAAAAAGAGATCGTGCATGTTGACATGCATGTAGCTGGAAAGGGTTACAGAGTAACCTCAAAGACTTCAGATATTCATCAGTCCACAGTTAGACAAATTGTCTATAAATGGAGTCGATTTGGTACTGTGGCTACTTTCCATAGAAGTGGGCCAGCCAAGATCTCTTCAAAGGCTCAAAGAGGTGAAAAAAAAAAACCCTAGAATAACAGCTAAAGACTTGAAGGATTCATTGAAGCTGGTAAACATCTCCGTTCATGAGTCAACCATATGTAAAACATTGAACAGGCATGGTATCCATGGAAGGACACCACGAAGGAAGCCACTGCTCTACAAACAAAACATTGCAGCATGCCAAAATTTGCCAAAGACCATCTTGACACTCCAAAACTCTACTGAGAAAATGCCTTGTGGGCAAATAGAACTATTTGGGAATAACTGGAGTCAAGGAGCTCCTATCTACAGTATGTCTACCCTACTTCGCATGTGCCGACATCATGAATCATCTTGGCTTGATTGCGGAGATGTGGCAGAGGAATACAGTTCAACAACCTAAAGCATGTGGGTACACTAACATCAGTACTGGCCAGTACTCAACATGACACTTTTGATTGTACTGTAGCGACTCTAGCATGAGCCCTTTCTATGAACTTTTACCTATGTACTGCAACTTTTTTTAACACCCCGAGAACTGCTGGTCAATTTTTAAAAACAAGTGGAAATGCTGATTAATCTCTGCTGAGAGTTCCCAGAGTTTTGAGGTCCAATCATTTTTAATTGCTTTGCCAAGTTCTGTATTATGTGTTCTTGTATATAGACCTCCCAAACATAACACCGATTTTATACATGAGTTTTCTGATTTTTTGTCTGTGATTGTAACTTCTTTTCACAACATTGTACTTCTTGGTGATTTTAACATTCATGTTTGCTGTCCATCGAAGCCTTTAGCCAGAGAGTTTTTAAATATTATTGATTTTTTTCACAGTATATAACTTGCTCTATTCATCAGCATGGTCACACTCTTTATCTGGTTCTTTATATGGGTATGCCTGTGTGTGGTATGCCTGTGTGTAATATGCATATCTTAGATCATAATTTTTGTGACCATAACCCTATTGTTTTTAATATTACCCTTTTATGTAGTCCCCTGAAACAAAAACCTACTGCTTATTACGCTCGTGCGATTACATCTAATACAGTCAGTGATTTTTCATTGATTGATTGACACTGTTGAATCTCCATCTATCTTAATGGGTCCAGAAGAATTGGTTAATCTGTTTAATAATGCTTATTCCGATTAGAGCCCTGCATGGCAGCCTGGGCCCAATGGGCCCTGACTTTTTTACGCCCATCGGGCCGGGCTTCAGGCCAATTTTCACGTCATAGTTCAGACGCGGGCCGGCCCTCTGGCCTGTTTTAGGCTTCTTCTTATTTTTATATTTGAGACATCCATCAATTAGCGATCAAAAAAATTGCCACGCTGGTGGAAAAAACATGAGACCGTGCTGCCGCGATTGTTAAGAGCGGCTCAACGGTGTTTAGTGTACCGCCAGCAACAGCATGTATGGTGCGTGCCGTCAGCGCAGCTGAACAGTTCTGCTTTCAAATGCACGCAATACACTTAAGCTTGCCGCAAAGCATCGGCAAAAGTAATTACCATAAATGTGTCAGGGGAAATAGTATGGAGATATTTGAATTATTTACTAATAAATAGTGTTTTCTGAGTCGGTGTCACAAGGATGAAGTTGCCGATCCTGACTCGCCATCTCCTCATTAGACGCGGCTTTAGAGAGAAGTGCATCTTTACCCAGATAGCACACATACGTCTGCAAGATGCCTGCTAAAGATCGCTTGATCTGGAAAGCATCTGCTGTGTACAAACATCTGACAGACGTCTGTAAGATGTCAGTTTTACATGCATTCTAAATCATAAACATCTTAAAGACATCTAATAGATGTCTATTTGACATCTGGATTTAAAAACAGACAATGTTGAGGCAGTTCTGATGTGAGAGGGGAGACTATTCCAAAGTTTTGGGCCGACAACAGAAAAGGCACGGTCACCTCTCATTTTTAGCCTTGTCCTAGGAACATGCAGTAAAGTACAGAATTGATTTTAAAATTCTACTGTTTGTTTTTAAACCTCTTCACAATCTGGCCCCACTGTACTTAACCGAGTTGTTACAGCCTCATACTTTGTCGAGATCGCTCAGATCTACTAATTCTGACTTGCTGCATGTTCCTAGGACAAGGCTAAAAATGAGAGGTGACCGTGCCTTTTCTGTTGTCGGCCCAAAACTTTGGAATAGTCTCCCCTCTCACATCAGAACTGCCTCAACATTGTCTGTTTTTAAATCCAGATGTCAAATAGACATCTATTAGATGTCTTTAAGATGTTTATGATTTAGAATGCATGTAAAACTGACATCTTAC